TCTGCCAGTTCTGGTGCCGAGTTGTGTCAGTCATGTGTGCCGCCAGCCCATCAACTTGCTTGACTACTGCAAAGTCTTGCTTGACTACTGTATTTGAATTGTAATTGTTGTTCACAGTTCGCTTATCATCATGTTATTACTCAAATTACTGTATCTCATTTTGTCTCTAATAATTTTTTGCTTTATCATGAAAAATAGCACCCCCCCCCCACCTGCACCCCCTCTGGCCAGGGCTGGAAGGGGGGGTGCACTCCACCAGTAAATCCATCTCTGTAATCAACTAGTTAGTTTGGATGACTCCCTATTAATATAAATCTTAATTTTTATTTAATTTAATTGCTTTTCCATCACTCCTGTACAGAAACATACACACATACACACATATACATACATAACACAATGACATAAACTGAGTTGATGGTTGGGTATCCGCAACAGCCTGAAACCAATTACTGCGGGCCCGGACATTTTGTAATATTCCTTTGTGTGATACACAGTCCTTTAACAATCACAAATGTGAAAGGCCACTTTGTATACATATCTTTAAATAATAAATATTATTAACACTAAATAATCACGCATCTATCAACTAGAGACACATACCTTCCGGCTGCGGCACATTTCATCGTTATTGCATGTCCCTCTTGAAACCGCTTGTTTTTTGGGAGTGTAGTGACAATTTTTGGTCCAAATGTCGTCATGTTGGCTGTGAAAAGAAAAACATTGAACATCGATAAAATGGACATGATGAAGTCACGATTGATATGTCACATCAGTCACAAAAAGACACACAAATTAAACTTAATTTACGTAGGTTTCGTTCGGTATAGTTATTTATTATATCAACATAAGTGTTATATAGAGTTTTGGGCCTGGGCCACTGAGAAAAATCGTATTTAAACACACGTAAAAAATACGATATTTTTACGTGTGAAAATATCATTTTTGCAAGCCAATCAAAAAGCGCGTAGAAAATATGTTTGACCAATCAGAGCACTTGTTGTAAAACGCATTGCCACGGATGTTTTAATGTTTTTCAATTATCGCTTTTCAATTATCGCTTTTCTGTAGAAATTATCGCTTTTCAAAGACTGTCCTTTATATAATAAATAAATAAATACATGGATGAATAAATACATGGATGCTTGGAGATACCAGATTTATTTCTCGTGTTGTTCAACACTCAATTAAATCTGGTATTTCCGCGCACCCATGTATTATTCTCTAAATATTGAACTCTAATATACTGACACATAGAGGATATTACACGGCGATGCGAAGATATGACTTTTATTTTCGAGTGGTGAAAACAATATTTTACGAACGAGCACAGCGAGTGAGTAAAATATTGTTTTTAACACGAGAAGATAAAAGTCGTATCTTCAAGCCATTGTGTAATGTTCTGTTTATTACATAGTCCCAAGCACAAAGATTGTGAAATTTCACGCTCAAAAGCAAATTGGAAAAAGTCACGTGATCGATATCTTCACTACTAAAATAAAGATATATGGAAAATATCTCACTGTGTTTTTTCAGTATCTCACTCTCTATATAGACTATATAATAAATATATACACTACATGCATACGTCACGTCGTTGACTTTGGCCCGTTCTATAAGCCCTAACTTCCCATGGCGATCGTGAACTGGACAGCAAGCAGCACCTGCCAAAAATTGTTTCCAACTCCCCCATACAGGGCTGCAAATTACTGTCGGACATCGGACAATGTCCGACTAAATTTGGCAAATGTCAGAGCAAAAGTAATTTTGATCGGACATTGGTCCGATCACAAAAAAAATTGTCACATTATACACTTTTTTGCTGTGACAAAATCCGATTGCAAATTTGCATTTTGCAATAAGGCATTCTTACAAGCATTTTACTTAACGTTGCGCCGAAATGGCTATACATACTTGTCTCGTAACTTATATACATCTTGTGACGTATATATGTCCGACCAAATTTAGTGATGTTGGTTTTTGTCCGACCAAATTCAAGTTATGTCCGACCAAAATTAAAAGTGATCGGACAAATGTCCTGTCAAGTCAAATA